TTGAATGATAAGAATTTTTTGTACTATTGCTTCAGTTATTGAGAGATCTTGAGAGTGCTTGGAGAGAGAGCAAGATCCCTAGGAAAGGGAAAACGGATCACCCATCAACCTTGGAGACAGTCAGGTTTGTGGTTTGTTTTATCGTTCTTTTCTTTCAATTTCTCTTCCTCCTAGCCGCCGGATCTCCTAGCCACCCCACCTTGCCATCGGCCAACGTCTCCCACCACCACCACCTCAAGCTACCAACCTCCTTCCCCTACCACAACCACCGGCCCGCTTACCCAAAGCCCCACCTCACCGCCGACCCTTCATCCAACCAAACCCAATGTGGGCTCCGAAAAATTCCATTTTTGAGATGTGTGATCCCGGGGGAATTTTCAGAAGGCAGATTGGGTTTGTAGATAAGACACTACCCAGAGATTTCGCCCTCATTTGGTGAGGACTTTTTGATCTGAGTTCTGGTTTCCTATAGGCGCAAGCCCCTATAGTTAATTACCCCTCCCGATAACGAGAGAGAACTTTCGATTAAGGCTAGTCGTTAAAGAGGTCGAATAGGTTATAAACCTGTCGTATAATAGCAATAATTTAGGGTTTAAGTTTTATATTTGAATTTTAAAGTTATATATATAATATTATAATAAGATGTTATGTTATAATATACATATAATATTATATATTATAATATATTATATAGAGAGTGGGAGACGGAAGAAGCAAAGCGGAAGAAACCCGATCGGGCTAGGTCACGCACGGCGGAGCTTTGGGAGCGGAGACGGCGGTCGGCTCGGCGGAGGTTTGTCTGGCCAGAGGCAGGCGTGTCCGGCGGCGAGTCCTTGGTCGGAGATTGGCCGACGACTCCTTGGTCGGCTGTTCGATTAGGGCAGACGGATGCAGGAGTCGGAGCAAGAGCAAGGAGCGACGCCGGAGTTCGGTCGGGCAGAGGTAAGTCTTCTAAAACCCTTTCTTTCTCTTCTCTGTGCGTCTCTCTTGAGTGTGCGTGCGTATCCCTCTAACCGTCCGAATGGAGAAGGATTTTATATCGTGAGTATGTCGGTTTGCAATTTTTTTGAACGAACGGTTGTGAGGTGGGACCGGAGGCGATTGTGTCGTTTGGGTATGTCGGTGGGGGAGTCGGTGCTATGCGGTTACAGTCAACACCCAAGCCCAAGCCACCCCTTCCCCCTTAGCTTTTTCCCTCCGTCCTCGCTTACATTGATTTCTTTCCTAATTGGGTTGATTAATTTAGGTAACTCATTAACTTATCAAATTCAAATTATTTGAATTTGAAAAGTTACCTAAAATATCACTCCTCTTTTAGAAAACTTTCCAAATCCTTGCTTACTGAATTAAAGTTAAATTAGGATGAAATATTTCATCCTAAATTTAAGTCCATGACTTAAGGAAGCATTAATAGCTTCCTTAATTTCTCTTCCAAATCCATAGCTGCCGGCCCCCTTTGGGTTATCCATTAATGCTTGCAATTACAACCTTCCTAATTGGGTTTAAATATTTGAGGTACGTAACTCAATTAATTTACAAATTCAAAGTCATTTGAATTTGAAATTGTTACCTAAAATACCAATCCTAATTTAGGAAAGTTCCAAATTTCAGCCCTTTAGATTTTAAACTTATTTGGGAATTAATTAAGCATTTCCTAATTTAATAATCCCAATTAAAAAGGCTTAAATTTATTTTCCAAACCTCTCCCTCTCTTTCTACATGCCGCCGACCCCCTTTAATGGGTCCCCACCTCCTAATTAATTTCCAACTTAAAGCTCTTTCCCTTTGGAAAGATTTCAAATCCTCTTTCCCTTTCTCTTAGCAGCTCCCACCCTTACCTAAATACACCCAAATCCTTTCCAAACTAAAAGGATTCATTGGGGAAATAATTGTTTGAATTCCCTTCATCCCTCTAACCAAAAATCTGAACCTAATTCTTCTTCAAGCTTCTTCCTTCGGTTGGCCGGCCACTTCCCAACCTTACATCCATTTGAATTCTTGAGAGAAACTTCTCTCTCTCTCAAGGGGATTCTTCAAGGCAAGTCGAGGATCATTACTTTCAACACTTCAACGCGTGGGAGAAATTTCTTTCTCTCAAAGTAAACCTTCAAAGGAAGTTACGAAGAATGACCTCATCCTCTCAACGACTTGTTTCCGGATTTTGACAAAGGTGAACATTCTTCCCCCTTTCAATTAACTCTCTAATCCCCTCTCCTTATAGGTGATGACGATTCTCAAGGAGCCGAGCTTCATCTTATAGCCCTTATGTTTATCTTTGAAAATTAATGATTGAATGATAAAAATTTTTTGTGCTATTGCTTGAGTTCTTGAGAGATCTTGAGAGTGCTTTGAGAGAGTGAGATCCCTAGGAGAGGGAAAACGGATCACCCACCAACCTTGGAGACCGCTGGGTTCGTGGTTTGTTTTATCGTTCTTTTCTTTCAATCCCTCTTCCTCCTAGCCGCCGGATCTCCTAGCCACCCCACTTTGCCGCCGGCCAATGTCTCCCACCACCACCACCTCAAGCCACCACCCTCCTTCCCCCACTACAACCACCGGCTCGCTTACCTAAAGCCCCACCCCACCTCCGGCCCTTCATCCAACCGAACCCAAGCCCAAGCCGCCCCCTTCCCCCTTAGGGTTTTCCCTCCATCCTTGCTTACATTGATTCCTTTCCTAATTGGGTTGATTAATTTAGGTAAATCATTAACTTATCAAATTCAAATTATTTGAATTTGAAAAGTTACCTAAAATATCACTCCTATTTTAGGAAACTTTCCAAATCCTTGCCTATTGAATTAAATTTAAAATAGGATGAAATATTTCATCCTAAATTTAAGTCCATGACTTAAGGAAGCTATTAATGCTTCCTTAATTTCTCTTCCAAATTTATAGCCGCCGGCCCCCTTTGGGTTCTTCATTAATGCTTGCAATTACAACCTTCCTAATTGGGTTTAAATGTTTGAGGTAACTTAATTAATTTACAAATTCAAAGTCAATTGAATTTGAAATTGTTACCTAAAATACCAATCCTAATTTAGGAAAGTTCCAAATTTCAGCCCTTTAGATTTTAAACTTATTTGGGAATTAATTAAGCCTTTACTAATTTAATAATCCCAATTAAGAAGGCTTGAATTTATTTCCCAAACCTCTCCCTCTCTTTCTACATGTCGCCGGCCCCCCTTAATGGGTCCCCACCTTCTAATTAACTAACTTAAAGCTCTTTCCCTTTGGAAAGATTTCAAATCCTCTTTCCCTCTCCTCTCTCTTAGCCGCCCCTACCCTTACCTAAATACACCCAAATCCTTTCCAAACTAAAAGGATTCATTGGGGGAAATAATTGTTTGAATTCCCTCCATCCCATTAACCAAAAATCCGAACCTAATTCTTCTTCAAGCTTCTTCCTTCGGTTGGCCACTTCCCAACCTTCCATCTATTTGAACACTTGAGAGAAACTTCTCTCTCTCAAGGGGATTCTTCAAGGCAAGTCGAGGATCATTACCTTCATCACTTCAACGCGTGGGAGAAATTTTTTCTCTCAAAGTAAACCTTCAAAGGAAGCTATAAAGAATGACCTCATCCTCTCAACGACTTGTTTCCGGATTTTGACAAAGGTGAATATTCGTCCCCTTTTCAATTAACTCTCTAATCCCCTCTCCTTGTAGGTGATGACGATTCTCAAGGAGCCGAGCTTCACCTTTGCCTAAGTAAACGTAGGGTTTTTCTTCGTCGTTGCCCAAAACCTAGTAAACGTAGGATTGAGTGCACTTCATTTGTTTCTAATATTATTGTTAGATTAGGGATTTTCGTTGAAAGCTATTATATTTGCACGTCGTTGATTTTCTTTGTTATTTTGATAATTCAAAGTTCTTATTGTGCAACTTAGCCTAAACTGAAGTGACCGCTCTTACGTTTTATTTTGTCGTTTTATTTGCTAGTAGTTCTAATTTTTATTATTCTAATCAATAAGTCGTGCAAGTTCTTTTCAAATTACTTTAGGCATTGTAGTCCTATATCTTATTTGCTAGTAGTTCTAATTTTTATTATTCTAATCAATAAGTCGTGCAAGTTCTTTTCAAATTACTTTAAGCATTGTAGTCCTATATCAAATATTCTCATTGAAAACCACTAAATTCTCATCAAAGAAACATTCATTGAACAAATCAAATTCTTAATAATATAGAATGACTTTTTAAACATAGTAGAATGGTTCGTTCATCATTGGATTCCAGGATATTAGAAGGCTTTCCAATTTCCCGTCCAATGAATTAAGATGATGAAGTGGCATGCTGTACATTGAGCTCGCCTGATGAATGGATACCAATTCTATTTATACCCCCTAGTTCAGCTAGATATGGTTGTTCTTGGCTTATTTCTTCAACTGCAACGAAGGAGAGAATGCTCTTTTCTTGTATGAAGTTCATTGAAGCAAGATAAATTATTCTCTCATTTTCTTGAGATGCATCTTCATTTGATACTGAATGCATTACTCTCTTTATATATATATATAATTTACTTTTCTTATTTATTCTACATCATTGTGATTGCATCTTGTATATTCTATCTGTATACAAAGTAAATGTTTTGTCTAGTAATTTAATGTCCTGAACTCTTCTTGGACTGGAAACAGTTGCCACTATACTCAATGGTTTGGGCTCATGTTTCTTAAGGTCTTATAAAAGAGTTGAATTACCTATTTTGCCCTAGAATTTGCATGCATAAAGATGGATATGCTACAACTACTGGTTAAACAGGAATGGCTAAAGATTATTTTTACAATCCATGTTTTTGATTCATAAATTTCTCTTATAAATAACCACAGGGCACATTTTTGGCCTGATAATTGATGTTCCTTGAGGTAAGGAAAATGTTCCTTAGCTTTGAGATTATTGGTGGAACTATTTTAGTTTTTTGTACCCTTGTTTTTATTATCCTCCTACCCTAGTGCTTTTTGAAAACTTTTAATTGGTTGACTCAAACTAGATTGTATTTCTTTGTAGGTTAACATCAATGATTCACTTTCCGTATCTTTGTTGTCATCAGAACTAGCAATTCCAGGAATTTTCCTGGTACATGACTTCATTACTTCTGAGGAAGAGCAGGTTTCAGCCGCTTCTTTCCAAAGAAAGTATTTCATTTTGATTATAGTTTTTTTCTATGAGCGTGCAACTTGCATCGTACAGTGGTTCAGTGGAAACCTTCAAAAGTTTTACATGTTATGGTTTCTGTTATTACCAGGAACTCCTTGCTGCAGTTGATAGTAAACCATGGAATAATCTTTCAAAAAGAAGAGTCCAGCACTATGGTTATGAGTTCCTCTATCAAGTATGTTGTTTGCTTCTTTGTGAAATTGCACAGGAATCCATATGAGTTCCTCCAATAAGTATGTTTTAGTATTATGCTTAAATGTTTTTCTTTGTGGTAGACAACAAACCATCGACCGGTGATTCATGTAATTGTAAAATAATCTTGAACGGGTGGTCCATTTGTGGATTACTCATTATATTTGACCTATATAATGTTAAAGAAGGTCTCGGGATGGCTCCTTTGAACCATGAGCCTAATTTCAAGAGGAAGATGCTCAAGAGGTATAGCTATAGCGTCGAGGAAGGTCTTTGAAAGTCACCTGAGAGACGAATAATTTTGAAGTTGAGATGAACTTTGACCACATAGTGATGATTACAACATTGCTCTCTCTAGTTCATAGTTTTAGTGTTGAATGTGTCACCTCCTTGCAACTTCCCCAAAAATGATTTATGATTAACTGTATCAATTATGGCACTAAATTAAACATTATTCCATCATAAATGCCAACCACTTATGTGACCAGCATTCTTTATCCGTATAAAGGAATGTTGTAGGAAGGAAAAGAGTTCGATTATTTATCTTTTACCAAGTCACATCTTGTAGAAAGAATCCATCTTATAAATTCTTGGGAAAATCGGCTATCCCAGAATAGTGAGAGTGAGACTTTATTGCTAAAGAATTAGGGAGATGATATTCAAGGAAGTATTGTCTTTTTTTCCCTAGTTCTCTTGTTAATAAAACTCTAGATTATTAGCCTCACATCATTGATACTTGATCGACATGCCTGTCAGATCTTCTTCCAGTGCCTTTTTGGCATTAATCGATCAGATTTTTGGCGTCAGAGTGGTAGATTCAATGAGGACCTGTATGGTGTTAATGAAAATTGTTTGCAAGAAGACATGAGAACATTTCTAATCTTACATACTTCAAGAAGAAGACAAAGGGAAGTAGATATATCAACATCACAAGGAGAAACCTTTAGTGACTTAGCCAACTAAGGCACTCCTTCATTAGCAGATGATTTTGATGATGGAAAATGTTGAGCAAGAAGATTCTGACAGGTGCTCTAGAACCAAAAGAATGTCGATTTTAGGTTAATTTATCATCATTATGATGATGAGCAGCCAGTGAAAGTTTTAGTAAGTGAGAAGATTACTAAGAAGATGAGGGTGTTGATCTCTACCTATGATGGCTCTATTGATGCTGAGAAGTTGAATGCTTTAGTGGATCGGCTTGAAATCTATTTACTCTTTATTATCATTCTTCCTAAGAGAAGGTTTATTTTGCCTGACTGAAACTCACCAAGCATTTTTGACTTGGTGAAACCCTCATCGTCATCTTGTGTGACGAAGCAACATTTGGGGCTAGTTAAAAAAAAAGCTCTGACAAGAATTCCATCCTATGAGATATGAAGAAGAAAGATGGAGGCAGTGAGATGGGAGACTTTATTGATTAGAATAATCCTTGCAGGAATACATAATAAAGTTTAGAAGATAAACTTGGATGATTGATGTGCATTGGGAGACATGTTTATACTAACAAAATGCTCTTTAGTGCTCCATTACAATATACTGGCAAAATGCACTGTACTTCTCCACTACAACATTTCCAATAAACTATTAAGCATGTTTGTCATGGCGATTGAGAGAAAGAATAAGAACAAGAGTGACAAGCCTTTTGTTGAGAGGAAAGGAGGAGAAAGGGAATTCCAAGAAAAAGAAATAAAGGGGAATCAAAGGGTCCTAACAAAAGTTGTTCAACTTCTTTTTCTTTAAAGGAACAACCTGTACTATAATCACTTCTCGATCATAATATATGATAATGGTAAATGTTAGGAATTTTATTCAGAACCTTTCTAGGAGAAACTCAAAATAGATGTTTGTCGACCTCCATATATATGTTACGATCAATCGTGTGCATCGAGGAAGACGATTAATATACACGTCGCTCATTACGAACATCGAAGCGCTTTGATTATGTATGAAACCCCTTGAATTTCATCCTTTTGCGAAGCCGATCGCATTGATGCATTTAAGATATTGAATAAACCAAAGGAGCACTCACTTGTGCATGATGAATGAGGAGGATCAACGAAAAACGATGGTTGGCGAGTTGACGTTACACAAACTTCCCAAACAACATCCGATCATAAAATGGACTTCGCCCTTGCACTTGAAGCATCAAAATTACCCAACAAAGGATCTCTCAACGTTCACAAAACGGACTTCACGGTTGTGTCCGGAACGTTGAGATTACTCTAAAATGACAATAATATTGCTTGGGTCGTCACATGATTTCAAATTCAAAATTTTACCCGCAAGCGAGGTGATGGCATGTAAACTGAGGAACATGGAAAACGAGGAATTATGCACGAATTAATTTATATCTTAAATGATTTTTATTTAAAAAATTACATATAGTATTTAAATACAAAATGTTAAAATAATAATAAAAAATCTATATCCTAACTAATTTTGCATCTTATCTTCTGCCCATACCCAAATCTTTGCCCTTATCTCCACCAGCTCTAACTTCTCCCTTGTCTTCTACCTGTTGTGAAAACACCCCAACACAAGCTCTCCACTCCACAGGGGGCGGAACTAGCCTTCCATTTTAGCGGGGGGGGATGGGGAGTTTTATATAAATAGACAAAAAAAGACATAATTCATAGCAAAATATTGTATTGCATTATAACAAATAAACTGAAAATTATTACAAGCTTATTAATTTATTTTACATTCATCACTCATCCTATTATGCAATCGAAGTTTGGTAATCCGCATTGCAGAAAAGGCTCTTTCCACTGTATCAGTAACTACTAATAAAATTAATGATAAAGTTATAATTTTGTAAACTATGAAATACACACGATCCTTCTTGACTTTAACAATTTGTTTTGCAAGATCAACAATACTATTTAGAGAGGAGAACTCATTATCAGTGCACATATCTATGATGTAAGTTGACAATTGACTTTTAAGAGCCACAATGTCAACAATAGAAAAATCACTTAGATATAGTTGTACTAGTTGTATGAATTTTCTCTCATCATAAGCATTGAAGAAATTAATTGGATTTAAACATGGCATACAAATAAACAACTCAGTACTAGATTCAGAAAAATGATTATTTAGCTCTTGAAGTTGCATGTTAACCAAAGTATAGAGTAGCTCAACACGATAATGATGCATGTTTGATATTTCTTCACCTCTTCGTATTGATCGACGATGAATTTTGTATGTATCATTCATATTTGAAACTTTAACTTCAAAAACACTACAAAAACGTGACACTTTCTTTAGTAAAGTAGTCCTTCCATCTTCCCTTAGAATATGTAGTCATTGCTTGAATATTTTCACCAATTTCATTGCATTTTTTATGTCTTGATCTTTCCTTTGTAATGATTGTGATAACTCATGTGTTATCCCCAAAATAGCAATCATCAAATGCATTGTGAAAATAAAATCAAAGGATTCCATTATATCAATCAGAACATGATGTAGGCAAGGGTTGGGGGGGGGAGTCAAACCAAATCCTAAATTTTGGTTTTGACCTCTTTTGGACTTGCTAGCTCATTAATATTTTGAGCTAAAATTTAGCTCATTATGAGTTATTTTTTTAGTTCATTTATTGAAGAATTATTAGATTCATTCCCCTTTTTTATTTGTCCCTTTGATTTCTTCTTGTGTCTCTTTGGTTTCTCAACTAGAGTCTCTTCTCCTCCCCTTTGTCTATTCGTTTCTTGTGCTAGGGTGGCTTCCCATGCTTTGTCTCTTGGGTTTCCGTGCTTGGCTGATGTTTTTCCGTGCTCTGTCCATTGGGTTCCCGTGTTTGGCTGTTGGTTTCCTGTGCTGGGAAGAATTCCGTGCCTTTGCCCCCTTGGTTTCCGTGGTTGGCTGTTGGTTTCCTGTGCTGGGAGGTGTTCCCTAGCCTTTACCCCTTTGGTTCCGTGGATTTCTGCTTGGTTCCCATGACTGGCTATTGATTTCCCTATGCTGGGAGAAATTCCGTGCCTTTGCCTCCTCGGTTCTGTGCTGGCTGTTCGGGTTTTGCAGTTTCTTGCTGGGAACCATGGGATCCTTCTCTGTTTTGGCTGTGCCGTTTGGGAATAAAAAAAAAAGAGGACTGTTGGCCTTTCATTTCCCTCATTTAATTAAGTATTTGAAGAGTTTTAGTGGCTGTTTGTATTCTCTCTTTTGGTCTATATATAGACGATGTTTTTAGATGTTTTAAGAAGGTGATGATTATGATTTTTGGATAAAACTTGTGGGTTTCTTCGTGGAAAAGCTTGCGAGCTTGTTCTATTCTCCTTCTCCTCTAGGAAAACTTGCGAGCTTCTCCTCTTTCTTCTCGGGCTTCTAACCTCTTTCTTCTCTACGAAAGTGACCACCCTACCTATATCCTTCTTCTCAACATTTGGCAAGCAGTTTTAGGAATGTTGTTGTGTCCTTATGTTATTGTTTGTAAGCGTCAAAGTTTGTAAGTCATTTTATTTTATAAAGTGGAGTTTAATTTGTTTTGAAAGTCATAAATTGTCTAATTTGTTGAGTTTTTGTGAGTTCATGTAAGTTTTTATTATCTAGAAAGAGTTTTCTTTTTGTGATAAAAAATTTGGGGCCCTTCTCAAATTATTGATTACATCAATTTGGTATTAGAGCAAGTTAGAAAGTCATAGGTTTTCGAGTCGGTTTGTCAAGTAAATCTTGGTGAGTCATAGCAATTGTTGTGTGTGAGTCTAGGTTTCTTTAGGTTGAGTCGTTCTTTCTTTGTGAGTCTTGTCTTGTTAAGTCTTTTTAGAAAAATGGAAAAAGACAAAAATAGTGATCTAGTGGAAGAAAGCAAGCCTGAAGATTGTGAAGACTCAATACCAATGGACAGATGGATTCCATCAGATTCAACAAATCCCCTGTAATATGAACTATACAAACTACATTCATGGATGCATTTGTGTACGGAGCGGTATATGAAAAAGAAACAACTCTTACAAGATCAGTTTATGCAAGAACGATAAAAAATTC